CTAAAATTGTACCTCCGTTATATCGAAAAGAATAAACAATTTAATTCTTTGTAAGTACATATTTATTGCATTTGGTAATTTTCGTGCGTCGTTATCAATCGTCAGATCAGCGTCCCACTGCATGCCAGTAATGTTAATTGTTAACATATTATGCATAACTGAGTTTCTGTCAACGATTCCGCGTTCAGAGTTCCCATAGACATATTATTTTCTACGATATTTTCGGAAATAAACGTAGGTAATAATTTTTTTCTATGATAATAAACTCAAACGGTTGTAATGTAGGAATGCATCGATATGTTTTTTTGACGACACTAAACCGATTACTCTCATAAAAATATTGGCAATACCGATATCGGAACTGAACCGTAACCGAATTTAAATGAAAGTAAATTACCTTCAAAGCACAAGATGCGTTAAATATTTATTTTTTGATTAATTTAAATAGTTACAGACTTAAGATGAGATTATTAGTAATAAAGATTAATAATTAAGGTCAATAGTGTTAATAATTAAAATTATCATTTATAAGATTTTTGTATAAAAAGAAAAGTATCCCCTAATTGTGCCGAAAAAGGCGATTTTGCGAGCCTGTTTGAATGAGACCTGCGGTGGAAATAGTCTGGACTCTAAAATATTTTTGTGCCATTGCTTTAAAAAAGAACGATCGGATCTGCGTATATCGATATTAAATGAAACTAATTGTTACGGATTCTATTGCGTTTAATTTAACTTTTCACGGGGGGATTGAGGTGTTTGACGTCCCGATGTCATTGTTAGCCCGGCTACCTTCAGTTTTTGAATATTAATTTTTGGTCCGATCTATACTTGAGTTTGGATTTAATTTTATTAATTATAGGATTCAGATGAGGTTTGCACTCGGAGATCACTATCACTACAGCCCACAAGTCCTCTGCTGAAAATAGTTCTTCCCCATAGACTGCCACAAAGCAACATCCTAAGCTTCCTGTACTCGTAGCTGCGTGTTTCATCGGGTCGTCACTTCTACTAGTGGGAGTCCACTCTGAGACAGACTCTTGGCTTGCCGACGGTATAAAATCAAGCTAGGTAACGGAACGCAGTACCGCATCGGGTGCCATTTTATACTAAAACCAATTATTTATTCTGTGCTAAAACTGAGAACTATCCATCTACTTAATCTGACGATAACTACCAATCTTCTCTACTCAGTTTAAACTTGGGTCAAGTATAAGCCTATTTATAAGCTAATGCTAAAGTATATAAATGTGTATCAATATATATGATATAATATCCCATATGTAGATATTTTTACCCGACTATCCCAGAAGAAGGGTAATTTTTTGGAGAGTATGTATGTATGTATATATGTCTATTTCTTTGGCACGCTCTGTAGCCTAAACGCCATGATGGATTTTAACATATTATGGGATGTCGTTAGATTCATATTAATTGTGGGAGTGACATATGCTATATAAAAAAAAATATAATATTTATATATTGCATCTGCAAATTATTTTTATAGGAGAGGGGGCAAACGAGCATAAGGCTCATCTGATGGTAAGTGACCAAGCAGCAACCAAGGGAATTGCAGGTGCGTTGCCGGCCTTTTTAAAAGGAGTAAGCTCTTTTCTTAAAGGTCCCTAAGTCGTATCGGTCCGGAAAAATCGCCGGTGGTAAGCTATTCCATAGAGAGGTCGTACGCGGAAGAAAACTCCTAATCAAACGTACAGTGGTGGACCGCCAAGCATCCAGATGGTGTGGATGGTATCGGGAGTTTTTGAAATTTGGCGGTTGGGATTAATCCGAACAATTCTTCAGAGCACTCCCGGTGGTAAATGCGAAAGAAAATGCAAAGGGATGCAACATCTCTTCGCAGCGCCAGTGATCGCCGATCGGAAAGGACTTGGTCGCCGACCATTCGAGCCGCTCTGCGCTGGGTGCGGTCAAGTGGAAGGAGCTAGCACTGGGAAGCCCTAGCCCAGATATGGGAACAGTATTCCATTTGAAGCCGATCCTGCGCCTTATAAAGTTGCAGGCGGTGTGCCGGCATGAAGTGCTGTCCCGATCTGCTGAGCACACCAAGCTATTTAGAGGCCAATTTAGCCTTCTCTTCCAAGTGACCACGAAACTGCACGTCACTCGATATGTCGACGCCGAGAATTCTGATACTGACTGAGGCCACAAGGGGAGTACCTTAAAACTGAGGAGATACGACAAAGTTATTCTTTTTAGCGGTAAATGCGCAAACTTGTGTATTCTGAGGATTAAACTGGACTAGATTTAGTCATCCTCAATACGAGACTTTGTTCAGTAAAGACTTGACTTCAGACACAATTTTATTCCGGTACTCGGCGACATTTTTCCGAGAAATATCGGCACGGCTGGTGTATAAAGCATCACAAGTGCTGTCGTCTGCATAGCAATGTACTCGTATGTTACCAGTTTGCAACATATCATTGATATGCAGAAGAAACAGCGTTGGTGAACGCAGCCTCGTGGAACACCAGCCTTAATAGGCTTATAATCGGAGCATGTACCGTCTACTACGACCTTGACGCTTCGATCTGCAAGAAAACTGGTGATCCAATTGCACAATTTTTCGGGAAGCTCCTAGGAAGTAAGCTTTGAAAGAAGCGTTTTGTGCCGAACCCGCTCGAAGGCCTCCGCTATGTCCAAACTAACAGCCGCCTCTCCCTTGGACTCATTGACTTTGCCCGTCTATGAGTTAGGTAACCTAGAAGATCACCAGCTGAGCGTCTTCGACGGAAACCGTACTATCGGTCACTAATCAGCTGGTGATCCGCAAGGTACCGCATGAGCTGGCAGTTAATAATAGTTTCCATTACTTTGAAGAACAAGGAGGTGATAGCGATAGGCCTGTAGTTGGACGGATTTGAGCGGTCGCCTTTTTTGGGGATCGGGTGCATCAAAACTGTTTTCCATGATTTCGGGACTACGCCTAGGGAGAAAGGGTAACGGAAAAGATGCGTTAGAATCGGTGTCAACTCCGGAGCCCACTTCCTCAACACAATTGGGGGCATTCCGTCAGGCCCACTCAACTTGTGGATTTTCAGGGAGAGGAGTGTTTTGCGAACCGAGCGCTATGAGAACCACACATCCGGCATGGAACACTTACTCCGTGGGATGGTCGGCGGTGTGTTCCCCCCGTCATCGAAAGTTGAGCTGGATGCAAAGAAAGAGCTTAGCAGATCGGTGATTGGGAGATCGGATCGGCGATCTCCTTTGCGGCATGGGCCAATGAGTCTTCCTCCCTGTGCAGAGATGGAAGAGATGGCTGACAGAAGTTCCCTACGACAGCCTTGGCGAGAGACCAGAATGTACGGGTTCCCGTAGGAAAGCGAACTAGTTTCTCGCCAATTCTGCCATTGTGCTCTGACTTTGCCTTGGCAATGACTCTTTTAAAGGAGCTGGAGGCGGAATTATACTTCTTTTTGTGAGCGCTGGTGTTTACGTCCCGGGACGTTGATGTATCAGCCCAGGCCCGGCAGCACTCCTGCTTGTAGCGTTATGCTATTTTACAGGAGCGACTAAACCATGGCTGAGATCTGCCTCCAATGGGCACCACAGAGGAAGGGATAAAAATCCATACCCTGAAGTATAATTTAGTAGAATTAGCAACAACGTTCGGATCGTCCGGCGAGAAGCAAACCCGAACCCAAGGGTAGGATGCAAAGAAAGACCGCATCTCGTCCCAATCGGCCGACCTAATGTGCCAGCCAAACACGGCGGCAGCCTGCAGAAAGCAAGCGCGATTTCAGCGTGAGTGGCACCACACTTCGGACTAGACAATGGTCCGAGGAGCCAAGAGGGGTGTCGACGGAGACCTGATATCTGTCCGGATGAGAGGTCAACAGAAGGTCCAACAGGAAAGGTGCATGATCCTCCACATCTGGAATCCGTGTAGGCGTCGTAATCAGTTGTGTCAGACCATATGCCAAGGCAAAATCATGAACAGATCGGTTAAACGTGAACCGAGCCATTCGGCGTGGTGAGCGTTAAAATCGCCAAGGATCACGATCTCTGCGGATGGGACCTGTTGTAGCAAGGAATCTGTAGCCAATTGGACGTGGTCGATGAGTCGGTCTGTGTCGGCATTACCGCTATGGGACCTATAGAGGCACCCGTAGACGCGGGAATAGTCGTCGCTGTCCACGCGTAGCCAAAGGATGGACAGGTCCGAACCTTCAAGACTGCCGAGGTGCCGAGAAGAGATGTCCTCTCTGACGTATACGCAAACTCCAGCCCGAGGCACAAAAGAGTGTTTCAATTTGTACCCCGGGTAGGAGAGATACGAAGTTAGTCAGCCGCAGAAGATACCTGCGTCTCGGTCAGAAAGAGCAAGGCCAGCTTCGCCGTCGTGAAGTCCCCGGATAGCGTGGCAGGGGTCGCCTTGGTCTTGTTGCTCAGTTTGCCGCGAGCAGTTATTGTTTTGTGCGGAATGTTGCCCCCCCCCCTCCCAGAATATAGCAGCCTGAGCACCCACTCTCAGGAGTAGAGTAGCTTGGTCGTGGATGCTCAGCGAGGGATTCTCCAGGGGTGGTGGTACCCTCCTGGGGTAGTCTTTCATTTAATTCCGCTACCATGTTGATGGGGGGGGGGGAGGGTGCACTCACCGAAATGCAGAAGCAGCAACAACTTCAACTTCACGCTGGTATTCTGTGAAGTCGTGGTACCAACCCGGCTCGAGCCGGCCCATACGTGCAACAGCAAAAGCTGTTGCGTAGCACAAATACAAGAAAAAGGGATGGGAAGGTTGTTTTCAGTAAAGTATTTAACGCAGTCGGGTTTTTTAATTACTGTTTTAATTGATGGCTTGTTATAGTAACTATTGGTTACGTTAGTTATATTAACAATATGTACTTACAAACGAAGATAAAATAGATATGACAAACACAAGAAACATCAAGTAACAACAGTCAGTAAAATAACAATATTTAATAAATACTTAGTTATGTAAAACAATAAACATTAAACATGGAATGTAGCGATGGTAAATATCAACATTCGTCCCCGTAAGGACGACTGCAGTCTTCGGTGCCACATTTGAGGAAATTATTCGTATTTCGGCCGATTTTATACGGCGTCTCGCCTATGTAGTTTCCGCTGAAAATAAATTGTGATTAATGTTTCGTAAAAAATTATATTTGTATAATATATACCAATTAGAAGCCACTGGCTCCTGAAACACGGTTTTACAGTCCAAAAATGGCGCATCGATGTGAACCCGGAGAAGAGCTCCGCAGTTCACTTCGATTATAAACGACGCCGTATCAATAATACCCCACCAATACGTATGTTAGGGACCCCTGTCCTCTAGCATTCGTCTAATAAATATTTAGGTGTCACCCTTGACACGAGGCTCACTTTCGAGCCTCATGTCAAAAGAGTAACCCGTCTAGCTCGTTTTTATCTAGGTAGGCTACTTTGCGTGCCTATGGATTCGATGAAACATTTATTGTAATATTTTATGTCAAAATAAAGTTTTTTGATTTTTGACTTTTATTTCGAATATTTAGAGTCACTGCGGCATTGTTGACATTATTGCGTGAAGTATCATTAACTTTCAAGTAGAACTTTTAGTAGCCGTGTGGCGGCGGCATAAGACAAATACTTGCCAGAATGATCTCTTCGCATCCGATAGATTTCGGTATAGCTATTTCATTTATGTCAATCGTGAAATACTGAAACTAGCGATGGGCAACTTAGCACAGCATTATATGTGCGAAACGTCTACTACGTTTATTAATCACCCATCGAACATGAAGCTTAAGATACTTCTATCAAATCAAATCAAACAACAGAAGAGGCGCATGTCTAGCTTAAAGGAAGGGCTAATGAACGAGAGAATCGTTTAGATATTAATGTAGATATTCTACGTTTTAACATTCAATACTCATATAACATTCATTGGCGCTTATTGTTCTAGTAAGTCATTTTATCTAGTTTACAGACAGATTATGATCCACTTCTTTCCGCTATTTGTGGGAGTATTTATTTATTTATATTGTTAATTGATTATCTGTTAGTCGGCTCTCAATCAAATCTAATGCTGGAGAATTATATACAGGGCCTTATGATGACAATACTTCTTGATAATATTAAGTTCAAAATATACATTTTTGACTACAGACAAATGTTCCATAATCTACACAGCGTGCGAGATGGAGAAAACTCAATAAACTCCTCTCATAGATATGGGGTTTCTGAAAAATAGTGTAATGTGGAGCAATTAATGGCATATTTGCTGCGATCTTTTGAAAAATAAAAGTATTTCAATGAAAACAGGTTTTAACGGATTTTATCGCGTTTAATTTAACTTTTTCATTCACGACGTTTCGGGTACTTTACAGCACCCATGGTCACGGGGGGGGGACTGAGGTGTTTGACGTCCCGATGTCTTAGTTAACCCGGCCACCTTCAGAATTAAAAATTTAAATTAAACGCGATAAAATCCATTAAAATTAGTTTCATTTAATGTGTAGTATTAGTGTAAATTGAAAAAATCATTATAAAAGTATTATCTTAGCATTTCTGTTAATTATCTTTTAAATAGAAGAACAAAAATCTTAAATAATTTAGGCAAAAGACATTAATTTTAGATTAAAGTAAATTACATAAGCATTAAAATAAAATAAGTGTAACATTGAAAAACGTTTACCATATTTTTTGGAATAAACCGCATGACCAAGAAACTGAACTCAAGAATTTCATGTTTTCCAAAGGAATCTGAATCTCATTTAGCCAACCGCACATTTTATAATTTAATATTATAATTATAATAATAAATTTAATTTAATAGACATAAATAATTTAATTAAGAAATTTTTGACTAGAGATAGGTATTACCTATCTAAATATATTTTAAGACAGATAGCAAATGTGCTATCTTATTGTTTATATATTAACTCAGCCAAGGACTTGGCTACACAGATATCTGCTCCTTTTGAGCAGTATAATGACTTAATATGTAATTTGGAATCAGTTCCAAGTAATTTAAATTAGAAAATGAGACAATAGAGGTAATCTCTAGCAGTTGTAATAATTTAAATAATTTAGAATGTAGCTTACAAATCTTTAATTGTATGACTCCACAGAGTAATAATGAAAATTGTTTACACCTGGTGCATCAAAATATACAAGGCATGATAGGCAAAGAGCTAGAAATTGAGTTGTTCTTAAATAGCAACAATATTCATATTTAATGTATTACTGAACATTGGTTAAAAGCTTATAACTTAATGTTCAACTTCAGTGATCACCAGGTGGTCAGTTCTTTCAATAGAGAAACGGTTTTAAGAGGTGGCTCCTTAATATTAGCTAGTAAATTATTGTCATGTAAAGAACGTAAAGATATTGTGAGCCTCTCCGTTGAGCGAACTGTAGAAATGGCATGTGTTGAGTTTGAGCACCTCATTGTTGTGAGCATCTACAGACCCCCATGTTAGAACATAATAACGAAATAATATACGATACTTTTGAAAAAATTATGGAGGAAGTTTTTGCTAAGCTTAATAAACAGAATAAATCTGTTGTAATATGTGGAGACTTTAATATCAATCTCCTAGAAGCTTACTCAATCAATATTAAATTTAGAACATTGTCTTCATATATTTAGAACATTGTATCATATGGTCTTTTTAATTTATTTTTAGAGCCAACGCGTATTGCTCAATCTAGTGCAACATGTATAGATAACATTTTTACAAACGTGAAGCCGTTGCATAAATGTATAATTCAAAAATTAAGTTCTGATCACTGTGGACAGGTAGTTTCGTTACCTTATGTTCACAAAAAGCAAGTAGATGAGAAAGTTGTGTTTGTTCCAGTAAATGTACGTCGCTTGGAGAAATTTAGAAGTAACATAGTGAAAAAACTTCCATCACTTTCATACCAAAATGATCCAAATTTTTTGTATGGAACATTATTTAAGCTTATTTGCAATGAATTTAATAATACTTTTACTTTTAAAATATTCTCCTTGAACAGTCGGAAGTCATTTAATGAATGGGCGACAGTAGGAGTCCATAGTTTATATGATCTTTACCATGAAAAGTCATATAATCATAGCGTCGAATTTAGGGAATATGTGAAAAAATATTCAAAAATATTTAAAAGAGTGTGCTCCACAGCCAAGTCTTTGCATTTGAGTAACAAAATTAAGACGGCTTCTAATAAAATTAAAATGACATGGAGTATAATTAATAGCGAAACTGGTAAGATCAACTCTCGCAATTCAAACTACCAGTTAAGTGTTAGTAACAAATTAACTGAATCAGATCAGGACGTTGCAATGGTTTTCGAGAAATATTTTACTGATATTCCGATATTAACCACTAAGTCACTGAATTCTTCTCCTACTGTCGCCGAATCATTACTTAAACAAAATGTAAATGCGTGTACAAAGAATTTTGAATTTCATAAAGTGTCATCAAAAGATATTGTAAAATATTTTAAAACTATTGATGTTAAGAAAACTGCGGATCTGTGGGCGATTTCCGTTAAAGTAATTGCGTCTATAATAGATACAATCGCGCCTCGTTTAGCTATTATTTTTAATACTAGTATCGAATCTGGTGTGTTTCCTGATTTAAAGAAGCATAGTAAAGTAATACCTTTATTTAAATCTGGTAGTACATTAGACCCCGCCAATTTTAGACGAATTTCTGTACTACCAACACTTAGTAAGATTTTTGAAAAAAATATTCTTGATCAAATGTTAAATTTCTTTAATATAAATAACTTACTTAATAAAAATCAATTTGGTTTCACAAGGGGTCGCTCGACAACTGATGCCGGTGTTGAGCTGATTAAATATACGAGTATATTTAATGCATAGGAGAATTCACAGGATGCTTTGGGTATATTTTGTGACCTATCCAAAGCCTTCGATTGTGTTCACCATGAAACATTAATCAGGACACTTAAACACTATGGTGTAAGAAGTGATGCTCTTAAATTAATTATTTCATATTTAAGTAAGAGAACGCAAAAAGTCGTCATTAACGGTATGAGTTCTTCCGGGTCGATGGTACAAATGGCCTCAAGGCTCAATTCTCGGCCCCTTTCTGTTTCTTGTATACATTAATGACTTACCTTACATAGTAGGGGATAACCATGATATAGTATTATTTGCAGATGACACTTCTTTAATTTTCAAATTAAGTCGCGATTGCCAAAATATGACGAAGGAAATAATGCTATATCTAAATTAGTAAATTGGTTCAATGTTAATAATTTGCATTTAAATGGCACTAAAATGAAATGTATGAAATTTATGACTCCAAATATCAAACAATTAAATACTAATGTAATTTTAAATGGGGAGAAACTGAGTCTTGTAGATACCACCATTTTTCTTGGAATCACACTAGACGCGAAGCTTCAATGGAGCCCCCATATCTCAAAACTAGCAAGCAGACTTAGTTCTGCAACATATGCCGTAAAAAAGATTAGAAGTCTAACTAGTGTTGAAATAGCTAGACTAGTTTACTTTAGCTATTTCCATAGCATAATGTCGTATGGTATTTTGCTATGGGGACACGCAGCTGACACTGAAATTATATTTGTTTTACAGAAGAGGGCCCTAAGAGCAATTTATGATTTAAAACCTAAAGAGTCGCTGCGACAAAAATTTAAGGAAATTAATATATTAACTTTGGCCTCTCAATACATTTATGAAAATGTAATGTACGTACACGAAAATAAAAGTAGATTTACAAAAATAAGTGATATTCATTCTGTAAATACTAGGAACAGACACAAGCTAGTAGTACCAGTTACTCGACTCCATCGAGTCAGTAATTCATTCTTGGGGCGATGTATACGCTTTTACAACAAAATTCCAGAAAATATACAAAATTTGACCTGCTCAAAGTTCAAAAACTTTATTAAACTAAGTTTGTATAAAAAGGGTTATTATAATATTAATGAATTTATAGATGATAATAACCCCTGGAAATGAGGTGATCGCTATCAAGCTATTTCTAATTTGTTGTGTTGTTAATTTGTGTAACATACATGATTGTAAGCTGTTATTTTAAAAAAAGTCCCGCTGGGTTTCTTGCTGCTTCTTCCCAGGACAGAGGTTTTTTTTTCGAACCAGAGGTAATCATACAAAAGAGTGAATTTGAATAAGTATTATTTATGATCTATATTGAATAAAAAAGTTTCTGTTTCTGTTTCTGTTTCTATAAAAGACTAGCTGTCTCTCGCGACTTTGCGCGCGTGGAATTTACTACGATTTCATGGGTTTAATTTTTTTGCGCGGGACTCTAATTCTTTTTCTAAAATAAAAGTATCCTAAGTTACTCCTTATAATATCAGCTATCTGTCAGTGAAACTCCCGTCAAAATCATTCCTGCCATTACGGAGATTAGCCGGAACAAACAGACAGACAGGCAGGCAGACAGACAGACAAAATTTTTGTCTAGATTTTGTCAGACAATACACACCCCAAACAATATTAGATATTTTGTTCCGGCAATCCTATATATCACCGATATTCCATAGTCATTTATATTTTTTCACCTCCTTAGTTCAAATAATAATTCAATTCAAATGTTTGTCAATCTTATCCTCCCAATACGTCTGCATCACAGGGCTACACTCTCGGAATTTGTGACGGTGTGCTGCGTCTAGTACAAAATGTAGAGCGCGCCTTCCGACATTCTGGCAAATTAAACTTGCGGGGTCTAGCACAAATGTACGTGCAATTTTTTGACAGAAAATTTCTTATAATGCGCAGCCAACCTTAAATTCAAAGTTACAAAAGATTGCTTTGTTTTGTTTAAGCAAGTGATCGATCGGTGAAGTGTCCGTTTGTAATATCAAAATTACAGCTTTTTACTAAATGCATATGAAAGTATTATTAAGTTAAAGTTGATTAAGTTAAATTACCGTATTTTTAAAGTTTTTGTCTGTCTGTCTGTCCGTCTGTCTGTCTGTTTGTTCCAACTAATCTCCGAAACGGCTAGATTGATTTTGACAGGATTTTCACTGGCAGATAGCTAATGTCACAAGGAGTAACTTAGGCTACTTTTATTATAGAAAAAGAATTAGGGTTCCGCGCAAAAAATGAAAACCCCAAAAAACACGCGGGCTAAGTCGCGGGGAACAGCTAGTAACAAATAAAAAATGCCAACCTTTTGCTACTTTGCCAGCCTTTTTATACTTGTAGACCAATAAGTCTTTGGGGGAGGCCTACGTTCATGGCCTGATGACGATGATTTTCGAATTTCGGTGATCGTTCTTATTAAGACAGTATTTTATAGGCTTTGATTGAGATATGGATATCGAAGAATATCGCAAGGATCCAAAATAAAGGAGGGGCTTGCAATCACTATTACTAAAAGATACGCACCTAGGACCATAATTGCAAACTATGAGAAACTTTTTTAAGTTTGCCTGCCAGTACTGTGATATCGCACACCCAATGTACGTTGTATCAGCCCATACCATCTGAAAATAATAATCAGCTATAATTTCAATATAAGATACAATATAATATTATAACATATTATTATTAAACACAAAAAATAATTCGTTTAGCGTAGTTAATTAATTAAAGGTGAACTTGCTGTAGTCGATATATATGTAGGTAAAAGTACAAAGGCGCGAGGCGAAAAGTTAGCAATTGTCTCTCAACATCCTAACAATACAAAATAGATACAAAGTGTGATGCGTTTTTAATATATTATTATTGTAAAGGGACTGATCATCATCATCATCATCATCACTACAGTCCAAGACAAGTCAACTGTTGAACTTGGTCCCACCCCAAGTTATGCCAAAACACGATTCTAAGCCACCTAAATCCATGGACATCCAGCACTTTTATATGGTAATGTAATATTCCGTATTTTGTTCTCATACTTGCCTCTCCTGTCATAAGTTCATAATACTCATTTTCCAACAACTTATTTAATAATATAAAATATCATAATAATCATATAAAATATCAAGATAATCATATAGACGATGTTTTTTTTTTTTATAGGAGAGGGGGCAAACGAGCATTTTTAAATGAGAACAAATAGAACAACATAAACAAACATCGTCATTTATCTTAGGGCATTTGTTTCAAATTGTCTGTTTTCATTGATTTAATGATAATAATTCATTCACATAAACTTGAATATATTTTAAATTATATTCTGCCAAGAGGCAAGGGTATGGTGCTCACTTTAAAATTCCATAAATAACGAGCAACGTAGATTCTATCCTCTTAAAAGTATACAATTATCAATTTAAGTAAGTATAAATACTAATATACGATAATTATGATAATGAAGATGATGGGTACAGGTGAAGATATTATGGCTGAACACGAATGAGCCGGCTCAACTAGGAAAGGACTACGCCCTCACGGAATGCCAGCGTAAAATATCAGCTGAATGCTGCTGTGTTTCGTATGGTGAATGGAAACGAGGCATTTCATCTCATAGTCCTCAGGGTTGACAACGCATCTATATTTTGCTTATTATTCGAGGATAAGTGTGGATGTCTACGGACCACAGCATCCACTTAACATCAAAAGGACTGTGTGCTTGTTTGTCACCGTTATTCCAAAAAGAACTTCATGTAAATATAAACCTTTTTCCAGCTTTGTTTTTACGTTGTGTTGTTTAAAAAAACATATTTCACGACTGGAAGTTATATTCCTTGACAAAAAAAATACCCACCTGAGTGTAGTGACCAATTTGATATTTCGACGAGCCGTCAAAATCGCTTATACTTAGTGGCCCATAAGTATAGTGTTGATGTTCGTCGAACCACGATTTAAGGCTGTCATCTATATCAATTTTGTGTTTACTATCAGTTGTGCCGTACGAATAGAGGTTTTCACCTGTTTCAAATCTGCCTGAGCCTAAAAAAAATTTAAAACACTTTATACCTATCGTTAAAATCTGCATTTTGGCCTGAATATAATGGTACATGCCCTGAAAGACATGTGCATGATATGTGAGAAATTTTATCAAATGGCGATATTCAACTCCATTATATGTTTACGCATTCTTGAAAGATCTAGCTGTGGACTGAAAACGATGCCAGTGATATAAATGATTGATTATCTGGTCTTGACACAGGTACATCCGACAGTTTAAAGACAGCTTTCTTTACATACAAACACGGGTACTTAGTGTTGAGATTGTTTGCCTTCCTTTTAGCGCTAACAATATTAATATATATGTTCTTGTCGTAATTTCTTTACGACAAGAACACTTTAACTTACCTACGTTATCTATTGGAAACATTAGTAAGACCAGTAAGACTGTCGCATGGTAGTGATACAGTACTAAAGGCACGAGGACAACTATATTTTCTGTGTTTCTGATATTGAATCCTATATTATTCTCAATAACAGGATGTGCATATTTTAAAATTTTCGAAATATATAATTCTAGTATCAATATTTTATTTAAAAGTGCCATCCATCTCTTAAAAACAAGGGCGATTGACCACACTAAATAGTTTTTTTTTTTATATATATATACTTTGTAGTTGAAGCGTCAATACAAGATAATGTGGCTTTTTCTTAATGCTATTTCTAGTTGCTATTTCTGTACTGTCGTAAACCTTTTCCAAGCGCTAATTTATTTTTAGAGTGCTTAAATGAACGCTGTAGATGTTAATGGTAAATAGTAGGTAGGTAATGATACTTAAATATCATATTATGTTACTGTGCTATAATTAATAATATTACAAAAAGTTGTGAATAAATGATGTTGTATGCTAATAATCGTCGTCGTGGACAATTCCAGCAAAGTTATTTATTATTGATAAATGTTTTTAACATTTTGTTAATTTATTAAACCAATAACACTGTTTTTCCTTTGACTGAAGAAGGATGGCATGACCATTGAATAAAAGTTTACGCCAAAATAAAAGTTATGCAAAGATACAACCTATATAGGTCCCACAGCTTGATACAGACTTCTTTTCATATTTGGGATAGTAATGAGGCTGTAAGTCCGCCGCATTACTAATGCCTAATGCTAAATTTTCTAATTCCTCAGAAATGCGGTGCCTAGAAATTTAAATACTTTTCTGTGCGTGATTCGAACCTTGAAGTCATACTTGCTCAGTGTTTCTTTTTATAGTATAGGTTATATTAAATAACTACATAAGTACGATTTTAGTATATTTTAAAATGAGTAACGAAATTTGCTCTACGTATGTACTTATATTATGACATTGGTTACCTATATTTTTATCTGGATTATGTAAAAACTGTTCTCTGGACGCCCATTTCGCCGCTTTTGTCGCTAGTTCGTTGTCCCAAACCTAAAAATAAGTAACAGTTAAGTTATTTGTTTTAAAACAATAATTAATATAATAATAACATTATCGACTTGGACAGCTTTTTGAAAGAAGCATTTACAATTGATTACAAATGATTGAAAAATTGAAAGAAGTTGAGGCCATTGCCTACCAGTAAGACATATTAAAACAAGCAAACTATCTATAAGATATAATAATAATAATCTTCACTGCTGGCCATGTGAGGAAGCTCCATGTCGCTCAGAGTGTTATGGAGAGGGTTATGCTTGGGGTTTCTCTGCGTGATAGACTTAAATATGAGGATATCCGCAAGCTAAAGTGGCAACGGGCCGACCATTAGCTCGAAGAACCGACAATCGATGGGGAAGAAAGGTTCTCGAGTGGCAGCCTGGTACCGGTAGGTGAAGTGTAGGGTGACCCTCACTACATGGAGTGACGACCTAGCAAGGCAAGACATGTAGGAAATCGATGGATGCAGGTGGCTCAGGACCGTGCTTTGTGGCATTCTTTCGGGGAGGTCTATGTTAAGCGGTGGACTCGTGGATAATTTAAAAGAAATATTGTGAAACTTGTACAAGTGTTTATCCAAATCACAAAAAATAAACTGTAGTTTTCCCAAGTGACAACAATCAAAAGCACAAATTATATCTAATAATGTAATTATTTAATTAATGCTTCAAGTAAACTAAAAATGCGTGTGTTAGAAATACGTCACTACAGTAGTCAAGTGGCGGTAATATAGGATTACAGGAGGGGTTTCAAGATTGATTTTTAAGTTTACACTACTGTCGCTTATATAGATACGGAGATAATATATCTAATAAGTATTACTAGATATTTAATAGAAATCAGTGTTTTAATTATTTTTAAAGAATAACGGACACGAACGAGCACATAGTCCGCCTGATGGTAAGTGGATGATATGGCCCATAGACATCTACACATACATCACATTCAGACCTAAGGACTAAGATGGAATGCCTCGTTAGCAATAAAAAGAGGCTCCGGTTCTCTCCACTAATTATATGAAACAACAGCTTTATTCTGCTGTATCACGCTGGTATTCTGTGAGGGCGTGGTGCTGCCCCGTTTGAGCCAACCCATTCGTGCTGCAGCTACATATAACTAGCATGGTGCAACGTGGCTCTACCACGTAATATAATTATCTTAGCTGAAACATTTAAGAGTTAATTGAAACATTCAAGATAATATATAGAAATTAATTATTTTTACCTCCAGTAGCTTCGAAATTACAAGTAAGCTATATTTTATTATCATCAAAAGAAAATGATGGATATCAATCTTTACAAAATGATCAAAATCAATTTAAAAATGTATGATAAAAACATTAAAATGATAATTTAAATTTAAAAATTTTGTACAGCCGACTTCAATATAAGTTATTAACAATAACTCAAAAACTATTGGTTTGACCTTGATCAAGTATCAGCATTCAAATAAAAAAAGAATCATCGAAACGGTTCACCCAGTAAAAAGTTATGAGGTAACACACATAAAAAAACATACAGTCGAATTGAGTACCGTCTCCTTTTTGGAAGTCGGCAGAAAACAGACTGACCATAAATTTCATATCCGAAGCAGCGGGTTGCCCAGACACTTCTCCTTTTGCTAACTGTAGTCTTCGAGAGTTATGTCCATCAACAAAGGCACGAATTTGGTTACACGACAAATTTATCACTGAAACGTCAAAAACAACAAAATAATTGAAACAAAAACATTTCGTTAAGAACACAACGATAGTGTGAACTGTTTCTTACATTTGGACTGCGATACGCCGCAAAAAACGAATAGAAAGAGCAGTTTAAGACTCATTGTTATTTATTGTCAAACGATGTCTAATGAACGCCAGTAAAACGGTGACTGAGATTTGTACGTGCAGTGCTCGCAATTAAATACTTACTTTTTATTAGATCTGGTTTTAAAAAGAACTACCTATATTGACTTGTGCGCTGATGAGTATCAAGCCATCGCCGTAGGTATTTAGGGTTAGTGACAACGAGGTGATATACAATTATTACAAGCTTATAAACAATACGTTTGCCGTGTTGTAATCGTAAGAGTTGGCAGAGAAAAACTAAAACAGGATATGAGCAGCTGCATCTTCCTGATATCAACACAAATTAAAAAAAACTGAGGATGTCATCCCGCCCGTCAAACGTGACTACTATGGCAAATATCCTCCCAATTGCATCTTTAAAAAAAACAGTAATTTGATTTCATAAATAAATACAAGAAAATACTACCTCAACCAGTTTACCTCAGGCGCTGCGCTAACCTAGACACTTCTGTGTCTTGTGTGGGACACAAGCTACCAATGAATATTTTATTTTCATGTAATCAATATGAAATCAGCCATTCTTTGCGCAGACGCAGATACTTTTTGTATTCAGTTGCTTTCACCTAACACATACCGACCGCCAATCAAAAAGAGTTCGGTGTAGTAACTGGAAAGTTTAAGCCGTCAGCAACTACGGTTTCCTGTGATGGTGTGCCGTGTTGATAGCAAAAAGTGTCCACGTTTGTGCAGCCCTTAATATATATTTTTTTAATAATTTCAAATTCAAGCCATAGCTCGAATATAAAAAGAAATATTTATTTAAAAATACGACGAACTATAATCAAGCAAAACCATTCATAATAACTTTATATATGCGTAATTCATGCTCAGGAAATAAAGCGAACAAATCAATTTTTTAACCATTGTTTAAAGTGTAGCTGACTTCATCATTACTTATCGCCGTTCCTCTTTTATCACAATCTTATATATTCATTCTGTAAACAAAAGTGCACACTCAGGGGCGTAGCAAGTGGTGGGAAAGAGTTGTTATTGGGGAGATTATTGGACAGGACATTTCAGGAGGCATCATATTGGGAAATCAGCTGCTACAATTTGAAAATACTCGTTGAACGTCTTATTGCCGGAACTTGTCGGTACTTGCGAAAATATGGGGCAATTTTTAGCTCTAGCGACTCCACACGGTAGAAACCCGTGCTTCGCTATTGTTTACGTTTTTCTGTTTGTAGAGCCTCACCTTGTGATGCTCTAGCATAACTTATTGAAAGTTGAACATCAGCTTCAGTCGTTAAAGGAGACTGATACGCTTTCATACATTCTTGGGCCCAGATTGTAAAAAGATGAAAGTGACGCCAATTAATAGCTTATATATTATCAAAAAATCACTAATCAATTTTGGGGACTTTCGCAATCTGAGAGCAGAATTATAAGAGATTTAGTAAAAGTGAGGTTATACAACAAGTTGGCAAAAACCAATACTAAACAGCTGATTTTTTGAAGTGCGATTGCTAGTTTGGATAGATCGTGGGCCTAGTGTATTACAGCGACTAATTGCTATCCATTGAATCAATATGTAGTAGATAAAATCCAGGCCGTAAAATCCACAATAACGAATCAAAGTCAAACGCGTAAATAAGATTATTGGTGTTCGTTATGTTAGCAAGGGTCATACAAGTAAGATCAGAAGTCCATAGAAAGAAAGCAGTGGTCAAGAAATTTAAATCAATAAATCAACGGGAAACACTTAAAACACAAACGTACTAAACGATACGCAACGACTGATCATAGATTAGATTGAGTTGAGTCAGGCAGGAGCTATCACTATCAGCACAGATTAAAAATACAGTTGACAAACACAAGTAATAAATGGAACTGTAAACGTGAGTCGATTTTAAATTTTATTTTTATTATGTTGATATTTTATTTTTTAAACTGTTAATACACTATGTTAATATATTGTAATATATCTATTTCATTTCATTGAATCAATTATCTGATGTAAGTCGTTTTTATGATTAATTGTTAAAACTAATTCACATTAATCGATTTAAGTAATCGAATTCCTATTTTATTCGTGACTTAAACTTATTTTCAAGATTTCTCATCTTTCAGATTGTGAATTGGGTTAATTTTTTAATATTTTGAAATAGAAAAATATAACGCTTTTTTTTAAACCAAATTTCAACTTATTACAATTGGGCCCAGAAATCCCCGTCTCCTTTGATGATTTCTTAATTCTGTTCTGTTTATCAGCAACCTTATATTTATTTATAGTTTCACTATAACATTTCTTTTTCGAAATTTCTCCCATATCCTTCATACTATTACCATCCATATTCAAATTTGGGTGCTGTTCAATATTGCTATTATGTTTTGTGTTGCTTGATAATACATGGGTTTTACTATCATGTGTCAAACTCATAATTGCGTTGGTAGATTCATTCAAATTACCACCACAATTTTCGACAACTGCGTGTACCACATCTTCGCTTACCATTTCTCCAAAGGTTTCAATAAGAGTCTCAATTACCTGACTGTAATCACTTTCTTGTCGACCCGCGGCTTCCATTTTTATAATTTACACTCTTACCAGGCCATACAAAAGCATGGATACGTTTTATTTCACTGATACCTCTATTTTTCTTATAAAATTAGTGCAGAAAGAGAATTTTCATAACATGTTACATATTTACGAACACAGAACACTAATACCCTTACCCCAAAGAGTATAGTAACTATCCTATACAGGAACTTACCCTTAGGTTTACGCGTATTGTACATACTCTTAAGCTAAGATATGTCATAATAAAATAAATATAAAAATTACCTTTATGAATACTCATTCAAAAGGTAGGTTACAATACAGGTTACAGAAGGTATTATGTGGAAATTATTTTATATTTTTAATTTTTGAAGTCTATGTATAGTGTTTACTAGGATCTATATTTAGATTTAAGATAGTCGAAGACCACTTATTTTATCAATTATTCGTTAATTAAAAAAACACCTAGGTACTCGATTAAAATATAGCTTACATTGCTCTCTATGTGATTGTGAAATTTCATTACAATCATTTCTGCCATTCCAAAGATTCACAAAGACAGACAAACAGTCAAATTATATGTAGTATTAAAATATTACACTTTCCTTCCTTTTAAGTTGACTAAGCAATATTACAAGTTCAAGAAAAGGTAACAACTAGAATGTCGTCTAATAATATTTCCCATCCTTAGGGGTGATTTTTTTTTCTTATTTATATGGGAACACCATTAAATATTAATAAAAAAACACATTTAAATAGACATTTTCGAAAAATCGGTGAACAAATATTAAAAAAACATACCCGTCGAGTAACCACCTTTATTTCAATCGGAAAAAACTCTTTGAAATAGGAACGAAAAATGTATTTCTGATAAAATTTTTCGCCACTACATACTTTTACAGATTTGTCCCGCTTTTTTGCCACGTCCCGCACTGCAATTGTACTTGTATACTGTATTTTCCCCGTAATTCCGTACACTAAAGTTGGCCAGGCTGTACTGTAACTGTCGTCATTTTTTATTAACGACAAAGCAATTATTGCAGATTTGCGATTTAGATCTGTTTTAACTTATAGCGTGAAACTTTTTATTTATGCATCATACGGCAAAATAACTTACGAAAAATGAAATATCGGAAAAAATATAATAACGATTAAATCGCTTATCTTTTCTCCTAATAATTATTGATCGCGCTAGTAAAAAATTTAATCCTGATATTATAAGACATAAAAAAACTTCTAGTAACTGATTGGTCATAGGAAGTAATAGCATACGCATAATACTAGTGGGAGGATGTCGGCTCTGCGCTCATTATGCCAGTTTTTTCCAATAACCAAGCAGTATGCAGGCTGTATACGAGCTGTATTGAAGTTCGTTTTTATTTACCTGACTGTATAAACTTATAAAGTCTGTATAAGCGCTTATATTGTTCTTATAAGTTAAAAATTATATAGCTTTCTGCGTTAGTAGCGCTGTACGGTAGCTAAACACGCATAAAAGAGGATGTATTACAGCTGTTATTTGGTGTCTAAGAGAACTCTAACACTACAGATATTGTCTTATAAGTAACTTTTAAAGATAAACGTTCTAAATCGGGCTTTGAATGGAATTACAAATGAATATAAAACAAAAATAACTTTATTTTCGATGACTAGATTATATTTATATACTTTGTTGAATGATGCCCACATTTAATGTCAGAGTAAAAAAATATATGTAACATATTAATATTATACTTACGCGGATTGGAATTGATTTTTGACGGTGATAATTGGTGAATTGAAAGTGCAAAATTAGATTTATTTAGTAAACCTGTATATGTTTTCTATCAAAAAATTGCCGCGCCAGCAAGATAACCAAAATAATATAATAACAAAACACTAAAAATCGGTGCGAATTAAAAGTAATGGATATGATGCCTTCATATCCATTATCCATTGGGGCACAGTGATCATTAGTCAAACTGAAAATAATGGTATAGGCTATAACTAATGTCTAATATTCCTAAAATTATATTTTAAATTTTGTTGTTATGGATCCTAAAATGCCGACAATTTGCTAAACAGCCTAAACGGTATTTCGAGGATCTTATAGTGTTAGTAACCGTACTGTGTATGTTATGGATTTTATCATATTTTATCATACAGCCATTGGTTTTTAATCACTTGTATAATATAATATTTTTATTACTTACGTTGTACAGCAGTATTCTCAACATAACATATAATATATAACTTTCAACATAACATATAATTTTCTTTAGAAGCACACAAAAAAACCTAACCTTTTTAACCTTAACCTTTTTTATAGGAGAGGGGGCAAACGAGCATGCCGCTTACCTGATAGTCAGTGACTACCGCCGCCCATGAACAACTGCAACACCAGGGAACCAGGGGAATTGTAAATACGTTGCCAGCCTTTTAAAATGGAGTAAGCTCTTTTCTTGAAGTTCCCCAATAAGTATCGGTCCGGAAAAATCGCCGGTGGTAAGCTATTCCACAAAGAGGTCGTACGCGGAAGAAAACTCCTAGTGAAACGTGATGGTGGTGGACCGCTAATCATCCAGATGGTGTGGATGGTATCGGGAGTTTTGCTGCGATGTGTGTTCGTAAAATTTGGCTACTGGGTTAATCCGAACAATTCCTTAGAGCATTCCCCGTGATAAATGCGAAAGAAACTGCAAAGGGATGCAACATCTTTTCGCAGTGCCAGTGAATCGAGCCGATCGGAAAGGACTCGGTCGCTGAAGATTCGAGCCGCTCTGCGCTGGATGAGGTCAAGTGAAAGGAGCTGGCACTGGGGAGCTCTAGCCCAGAGATGGGAACAGTATTCCATGTGAGGGCCGAACCTGCGCCTTGTAAAGTTGCAGGCGGTGCGCCGGCATGAAATACTGTCCCGCTCAGCTGAGCACACCAAGCTTTTTAAAGGCCAATTTGGCCTTCTCTTCTAAGTGACCACGAAACTGCACGCTATTCGATGTCGACGCCAAGGATTCCGATACTGGCTGAGGCAGCAAGGGGAGTGCCTTGAAACTGAGGAGATACGACAAAAGGGTTCTTTTTAGCGGTAAACGCGCAAACTTGTGTCTTCTGGGGATTGAACTGGACAAGATTTAGTCGGCCCCAATCCGAGACTTTGTTAAGCAAAGACTCGACTTCAGACACAAGTTTGTCCCGGTACTCGGCGACGTTTTCCCGAGAAATATTGGCACGGCCGGTATATAAGGCATCCCCAGTGCTGTCGTCTGCATAGCAATGAATGCTACCAGTTAGCAACATATCATTGATAAGCAGGAGAAACAGCGTTGGTGATAGCACGCAGCCTTGTGGAACACCAGCGTTGATAGGCTTGTAATCAGAGCATGCACCGTCTACTACGACCTTGATGCTCCGATCAGCAAGGAAACTGGTGATCCATTTGCACAATTTCTCGGGAAGCCCATAGGAAGGAAGCTTCGAAAGAAGCGCCTTGTGCCAGACCCGATCGAAGGCCTTCGCTATGTCCAAACTAACGGCCAATGCCTCCCCCTTGGACTCTACTGCCTCCGCCCATCTATGAGTTAAGTAAACTAGAAGATCACCCGCTGATCGACCCCGACGAAAACCGTACTGATGGTCACTAATCAGCTGGTGATCTTCAAGGTACCTCATGAGCTGGCAGCTTATAATGGATTCCATTATTTTGGAGAACAAGGAGGTGATAGCGATAGGCCTGTAGTTGGACGGGTCTGAGCGGTCGCCATTTTTAGGGATCGGGTGGACCAAAGCTGTCTTCCATGAATTCGGGACTACGCCTTGGGAGTAGGAGTACCGGAAAAGACGCGTTAAAACCGGTGCCAACTCCGGAGCACACGTCTTCAGCACAATAGGAGGGACTCCATCGGGCCCACTCGACTTGCTGACGTCCAGGGAGAAGAGTGCTTTGCGAACCGAGCGCTGTGTAAATCGCACATCCGGCATGGAGCACTCACATCGCGGGATGGTCGGCGGTGTGTTTCCCCCGTCATCTAGAGTCGAGTTAGACGCAAAAAGAGAGCACAACAGATCGGCTTTCTCTTTTGCGGCATGGGCCAGTGAGTCGTCCTCTCTGTGCAGAGATGGAAGGGATGGCTGACAGAAGTTCCCTTGGACAGCCTTGGCGAGAGACCAGAATGCACGGGTTCCCGAAGGAAGGCGAACTAGCTTCTCGCCAATTCTGCCGATGTGCTCAGACCTTGCCTTGGCAATGACGCTTTTGAAGTACCTGGAGGCGGAATTATACTTCTTTTTAAGTGCGCTGGTGTTTAAATCCCGAGACGTTGATGCATCAGCCCAGGCCCGGTAGCACTCTTGCTTATAGCGTGATGCTATTTTACAGGAGCGACCAAACCATGGCTGGGATCTGCCTCCGATGGGCACCACAGAGGATGGAATAAAAAGTTCCATACCCTGAAGTACCACATCAGCAACAGAATCGGCAACAACGCTGGGATCTTCCGGCGAGAAGCAAACCCGCCCCCAAGGGTAGGATGCAAAAAAAGACCGCATCCCGTCCCAATCAGCTGACCTATAGTGCCAAACACGGCGGCAAGCTGCAGATCGCAACTGCGATTGGAGCGTGAGTGGCACCGTGCTCCGGATCAGACAATGGTCCGAAGAGCCCAGAGGGGCATCGACGGAGACCTGATATCCGTCCGGATGAGAGGTCAGCAGAAGGTCCAACAGGGAAGGTACATGGTCTTCCACATCTGGGATCCGCGTAGGCGAAGTAACCAGTTGTGTTAGACCATATGCCAAAGCAAAGTCGTACACAGATCTACCCGCATGATCGGTTAAACGAGAACCAAGCCATTCAGCGTGGTGGGCGTTGAAATCACCGAGTATCACGATCTCTGCGGATGGGACCTGTTGTAGCACGGAGTCTGCAGCCATTTGGACGTGGTCGATGAGTCGGTCTGTGTCGGCACTGCTATGGAACCTATAGAGGCACCCGTAGACGCGGGGATGGTCGTCGCTGTCTACGCGCAGCCATAGGATGGACAGGTCCGTAC